TAACAACTTATTAGAATTTTGACTCTTAATAACTGCTCTTCAACTCAAGTCACCGAACTTTTAGGGTTGAATAAAAGTGAAGTAGATTGCAACTAAGAAGAACGAGGAATGGTGTGATATGCGCCTCTCCTGTGACTTGGGAAGGAGACAGACTGGGGAGAAAATCGAAAGGTCTTTCAGGTCTGAAGGTTTTAAGTTGAGGTACGTTTTGTTAGGAAAGATGCGAAGTGACAAACTGGCTTCTCTCTGATAATTGCACACATTTATATTGATGACATGCAATTGATCTTTTGCCAATGACATTCCATGGGGAAAAACTGAATTTCGCCACTATGACAAAAAAAGAATGTCTTAGAAATAGCACGTTTATGAATGAAGAAGATGAATACCCAGTGGTGCCATAATTCAAAGCAGTGTTTCAAAAATCTGAAAAAGGAATTTCTTCTTGCTTAGTTTCTGTTCTGCATAAATGCAGCTGTTCGATATACCTTGTTTGTTTAGGAATGAGCATTTTCGCACTTTCTCATGATTTAAATCCCTATTAATAATAAAAACCATACAAAAACATACATATGTAGAATCATTTTTGCAAAAAATCAGTACCATGTTGTATGTGCCAATTCCTGTCAAAATTGCAAATCCATACTCCGACATATCTGGAGGTATCCAGAGGTTGCCAACAGCTGGCCGATTGAAGTATATCTCTACCCTTTCTTGCAGAGCGTCCGGCTTTTTGTATCACTAAGCTATCAAGTGTTTAACGGTTTTTGAAGGTATGTAGGTATCTCAGCGTTGGAGCATTTGGCAGACAGAAAAGGAACTGACCATTTTCTAGTGTACACTTTTTTCCTCGAAACTGAAAACTAGAAACTTAATAACAACTTGGCAGATGAGTGAAGTGAGTGAAACGCTTTTAGAATCCAGTCAGGTAGTTTTCCCCTTTCATTGATTACTTAAAGTGAGGAATTTGAGATGTGACCATAATACGTTTCTCAGTTGATGCACTTAGAGCTTAGATGCTCGTTTAGGAAATCAAGAAATAACATCGAATAAAAATCTGTCTCAAAACGTGTCACAAATCTTTTCGAACCTTTGAAGGAAAGACCGCGCTTAAACCTGCGCTTAAAACTCACATTACGGCACAAATTTTGCCTCTTCAGCAGGAGAAATCAAGAGTAAAGTAAGAACTTCCCTCCTTGGTACATATGATCGCTTTCAAGATCTAACTCTGGTGCATATTCGACAGGTCGTTGTCAACCACCAACGGGGTCATATGATAAGAGAAAGTGCGAAAAGCGTCAAATGCACTCTCCACGCAATTGTTGAATTAGCTTCATTAGCGTCTATCGATCGCTTAGATGATTCAGTAATGGAAGAGTAGTGATTAGGAGTTAATCAAACAGCCTACCCTGGTTTTATGGCAAATGTGATTAAGTGAATGACGATTTAACGACAAACCTTAAAAAAAGATTTTAGTTTTGATGTTGGCGCCGTGTCTCAAACCACGTTGTTGCCATATCGGATATCCTCTCATCCTCCCATCATCAAGAAGATCGTATTGGCATGCGAAACAGCTGATGACGAATGCTCGTAATGACAGTCAGAAAAATCTATTCAGCCTAAGGCTCTGCAGAACAGTTCTTTTCATAGCCCTTAATAAAACGTGTCTGTTTGATGGAGGTTGACGATTCGTTGAATGTTCGAATTCTGGTAAATCATTCTCATTGGCGAGAATCGGTCAGCTTAATCGTGTCATGCCGTCAGAAGATTTTCTCATGGTTCTGATCTTTCATTAATCGAAAACGCTGCATATGTTGGATTCCGAACAACAACGATCGAAGGTGGTCAGCAAAATCCAGCCATTTTTCTTGTGGCATTGTCAAAGAAGGTTACTCTGCGGGTTTCTCCGGTGGCACTGTGATCACACTTGTCCCAATTTGGCATTTCTGCCTAGGGAAAGATCGGCTTTCAACTGAAGACTTGGCGTTTGCCCTGTTGCGAAGTTCGCTGAACCACGCCACAGCGGAAATCCTTCGCAGGAAACTCACTTCATGTAGCTGTTCGTGTCATCGTCCTTGTGCATACAGGGGCATTATCATAAGTAACGACGGCCTTTTCAAAGTACCCGTGATAAAACACTATTCACTGTTCACCATGAAGTTGTTGTTTTAAAGATGTACTGTTTTCAACAAAATCACGCAATGTCAGAAGATGCCGGAATAATGTAGGAAGAGTAGTCTGCTACAAACATGTAAATTGAAAGAGCATACTGTCCTGCGAAAACTATCGACGAATTGAACTGTTCAGCCACAAGATGAAAGTGCATGAAAAGGTGCTGGGAAAACGAGTGGAAAAATGAGTTGCAACTCTGCTGGAACCAATTTGACTTTGCACCACACGGTTGAACCACAAACACCGTTTTTACACTAGGATCAGTCCTCGAAGCATATGCAGAAGACAGCAAGGGCATTTACGTTGTGTTCCTAGACTTTGAGAAAACTTTCGATCGAATATCATGGCAGACAATTTGATGAAGCCTGAGAAGGAGAGAAGCTGGTGGCAGAAGAATATGCTAGGCTTACCCAAGACATGAATTATGGAGTGACATCGATAGTTTATAGTACTTCCAGTGAAACAAAAATTTTCTTAGTGCTTATGGGTCCATAGATGTTCAGCACTGAGCCCTTTTTGTCCTCAATTGCGACAGATGAGATCTGCAGGAAGCAGCCTCGTGTTGTATGCTTTCTGCAGATGATAAAAGGCTGAATATTGAATAGCAGAATGGGCAGAAGGAAAACTTTAGGTAAGAAAAATTGTTCTTAGCACCAAACTTCAGCTCACCAAACGTAAGACGGAATTCATGGCAGGCTGTTTCATCAGGGAAAATAAAGACAACCCCAACGAATAAATGGAAGTAGCGGGCAGTTCGCTGCTTAGACATAAAAATTCAAGTATGTTGATTCCATCCTTCGAGTAGCAGGTGGGAAGTCTAACAGCGAGTTAGGATATCCGTCGAAAAATTCTAAGTCAAATAAAC